GCAACGCCGCCTTTCGGCTTCCTGCGAGTTACGCATGTGGTGCAGCCGTGACAGGCCAACTGGCGTACGTGTCCGCCATGGCCCACCAGCAAATTTGCATGAGGGCGCCCCCGCGCGCGCCATCGGTGCCACGCTGTCGCGCGCCGCTTCGTCCGCGCAGGTGACCATGAACGCGCGCCTGGGCGGCCGGAAAGCCCATTTGGGCATGCTCTACGACGAGAGCTGCCGCAAGGACTGGGCCGAGAAAGCAGCCGCGGGAGTGCCGGACTTCGCGGCGCGCGCCTTTCTCGCGCGCGCGCGGCGAGGGGCCCGCGGCCCGTTGCCCGCGCCGCCAGGTAGACGTGGCGGCGCGGAAGGTTTGCCGCGAGCTGCTGACCGTGGCCGAGCAGGCGTACGACCGCGCCGAAAGGCCCGCCCGCGGCGACGCGCCCGCGCGATTGTTCGCCGCGCGCGCCGACAGGTCGGCTAAGCCCGCGAGCAAGCCCTCGAAGAGCGGCGGCGGCACGCCCCCCCGGCGGGCCAAGGGCGCGGACGGCGCGTGGACCGCCGTGGGCAGCAGCGGGGGCCGCGGCGAGACGTCGTGGGGGAAGCGCCCGGCGGAGAGCGGATGGGGCAACGCCAAGTGGAAACGCTCGCGCTGGTGAGAATTGTGCGCCACCGCAGGCGCCGCCGCCCGTTCGCCCGTGACAGCCTGGGCTTCGGGCCGCGGGGAAGCGGGCCGCTTCGGGCCGCCCGCTCGCCGAGACGAGCCCGCCGGGACCTAGCGCGGGCGCGTTTGTGCTTCACGTCGAACAATTGTGGCCGGCGCGCGCTCTCGTTTCCCGCGCCGGCGCGTGCTCTTCCATCTCGCGCGCAATTCAGTGCCAGCTCGCGACGCGCGACGCCTCGCAGCGTTCTGAGATGACGCGTCTCTCGAAACGCGCCCGCGCTGGGCCAAGAGGGCGCGCGCAAGCGCCGACGATGAGGCCAAGCTGCGTTTCATGCAGTCAGTTCTTGACTTGGGCCGCGATGGCTTCGCGCGCGAGTCCTCGATCGGGGAAGACGTGCGCGCGGCCGCCGAGTGGGCCGCGTCCACGCCCGCCGAGGAGGCGCGGCCCCCCCCCAACCACCCCTCTCGCGCACGGCTGGCGCGCGCACGCGCGCGCTTCGCGTCGTGCAGGTCATTGCTCATCGGGAGGCGGCCACGAGACGCATCGAAAATATGGGCGCTCAGCTCCGGGCCTCTGGCGAATGTGCGCGGTGGTTCAGCGGCTGTGACCCCGCAGTCGCGCGGGTGCCCGAGTCCGTGAACGGCCCGCTGCTGCGCATGTTAGCGCGCGAATGCGACCATCCAGGTGCCGAGGTGGTCGAATTTTTCCGTCAGGCGAGCTCGCGTTTGCCCCGCCTCGGCGAACCGCGCGGCCGCGGCAGGGCGCCCCCCTGATCGGGGTTCTCCCTCGCTCGGGAGTGGGCGAGCCGCGCGACCACAAGCGCTGCATCTCGGCAGACGAGCTCAGGGCAGGCCCCCCCGAAGCGCGCCGTGCGGAGCTGACCCGCCGATGTGTCGAAGCGTCGCGGGCGCCAAGACGTCTGCTGACAAAGTTCTGAAGCGCGCGAGACATGATCTGCATTCCGACGCGCTTCTCGCGACCGTGCGTTCGGACGCCGCGCTGGGGCGACTGACAGTGCCGCGCGACGCGGCGGCCGAGCCGCCGCCAGACGGGGCCGTCGTCTTCCCGCGGTTCGGCGTCCCGCAGGGTATCAAGGAGGACGGCTCGCCCAAGGCGCGCCGACCTTGGCGCCGGCGCCCCAGTCGCCGCCCTTCGCGCGGCAGGTACGTTCGGTGGACGATTGCAGCGCCGCCGACCTCAACAGAGCGACCCAGCCCCAGGCCGCAGGGCACGCGCCGCCAGAGGTGCAGGCCGGCGCGTCGCCGCGCGCAGGAGAAGTGGCGGCGCGATACCATAGATTCGCTCTACGACGTCGCTCAGACGGTGCACGAAGCATCGGGCGGCGAAGATGTCTTCCTGTTCAAGGCAGACATAGACGCGGCTTTTCGCCGCGTGCCGCTGTGCCCACGGGACCGCGACTTCGCGTGGGTCGCGTTCCGCCACGGCGATACAGTGCTCATCGCGCAGCACGCGGCTCTTCCTTTCGGCGCAGGCGGGCGCGCGACCCGCGCGCGCCGTCGCGGGGCCCTCTTGCCTTGTCAGCGAGCAGCGTGCGCAACTGGGAACGGGTCGGCGCGTTGATCACCCGCATCTGCCGCAAGCTGCTGCGGGTTGCGTTGCTGCGATACGTGGACGATTTGTTTAGCGTCGAACGGGCGTCGCTGGCGCCGCCCGCGCCGTCGCGCGCGACGGCGGCCGCGCAGAGCCGGCGTGTCCGCGCGCAGGCAAGGCACGCGCTGCAATGCGTGGTCCGCGTGGTCCGCGCTCTGCTCGGCGACGCGGCCATCGCGGACCGTAAGACAGAGTGCGGGCGCCCTCTTGTTATCCTGGGCTTGCAGATCGAGGCGCCCGCCAATCGTGCGCGCGCGCGTCTGTGGCGCGCGCCTTGGGCCGCGCGGCCAGGTCGATCGCTGGGGCTTCCGCGCTCGTCCATCCGCGGACAAGCGTGCCAAGTGGCTCGAGCGGGTCCGCGCCGCCATGGCAGCGGAGGAGCTGACCGCCGGGGCGGCGTCCAAGCTGGCGGGCGCGCTCTCCTGGGGTGCATCGCATCAGTTCCGCCGGTTGGGGCGCGCGATGCTGCGACCGCTGTTCGCGCACGCGCACGGCCGCTCGGCAAAGCTGTCCGCGGACGCGATGTGCTGCCTGCGCTGGTGGGCGGAAGTCCTGGCCCATGATATAGTGGAGACCAGGGCTTGGGCCGGCGGCGACGAGCGACCGCCTGTCGTCATTCTCGCGGACGCGCGCGGCGCGCCGCCGAATCTTGCGGCCGTGGTTTGCATCGACGGGCGCGTCGAGTATACGGCGTGGGAACCGCCGGGGCCTCTATTACTCGGGGGTGGACAGAACCCCCAACAGTGACACGTCGATTAGTGAATTGTCCGTTTTCGGTTTTCGAGAGGGCGCCGTTGCCGTTATTTTCCAGGCTTGCACCCGCCAGGTTTGGGCCTCAGGTCGTTTTCACTAAACCACGTTTTACTAAAGGGGGGTCTGTCCATCCCCGAATTACGGCGGGGCAGCATCGCTTCACGTGCCCGTGCCCGCCCTGGCGCATCGCTTGCCAGCGCGCGCAAGGCAATTCCGCGAACGGCGGGACGCCCAAATTGTCGGGTTGGAAATGCTCGCAGTTGGGCTGGCAATGTGCACGTGGGGCAACAGGATCCGCGGCCGCGACGTCCGCATCTACAGTGACAACACGGTCGCTGAGTGCGCCTTCCGACGTGGCTCGGCGGCCGCGCCAGATCATTGCGCGATCGTTCACGCGTTCTGGGCGACCGCGTGCGCAATGCACTTGTTGGTGCTGGTGGACCGAGTCGCTACGGGCGCCTGCTCGCGCCGCCGCGCACCGCCGTCGACACGCGCGCTCTGCGCGTGCGCGAAGACGATAACATTGCCGATCTGCCCAGCCGCGAGGAGTATCGGTTACTCGACGATTTGGGTGCCACGTGGCGCTGGCCGACGCTGTGGCCGCAGTTCCAGCGGCTCCAGCTGCCAGGGTAGCTCGCGTAGCGGGCAGCGTGCGCGCGCGGCGCGGGCATTGCCGCGCGCGCGACCGCCGGCTCGGCGGATTTCCGCGCGCTCTCACCCGGAGCGGGCGTGCAGCGGGATGCGCGCACCCGCTGCAGCTCGGCGGTTAGTGCACCCCGCGCGCTTAAGCTGTCGCGAGGCCAATGTCCGCCGCTCCCTGCTTGCTTGACGAAGTCGCGCAATGGTGCCGCGGGAGCGCGGCCGCGGCCGCGGAGGAGGTCGCGGCGTGCATGCGGCAGAACGACGTTTTCCGCGTATCCTGCGTCGGGGCTTTGCCGCCCGTTCGGACGTGGAACGGCTTCGAGGCGCCCTCTTCGCGCGCGTTTCCATAGCGACCGCGCCGCGCCGCGTTCGCACGAAGGCGTCATCAGGGGGGGCGGCGCGGATCCTGGAGCGGATGGCCATGGCGCGCCCTCCGCCCGGCCCGCCGCCGAGGGGCGCGGCAGCCAGCGCGGTCGGGCATTCTGCCGCCGCGCGACCGCGCCAGCCCGCTGCGTGCCTCGACGCCGAGTCTGTTTCGTCGTCGAGCTCGGACTCCTCCTCTGAGTCGGCGCCGCGTGCAAGGCCGTCGCAGCGCGCGGCGCTAGCCCGCGCCTATCCTGCCGCCGTGTACTTTGAGCGCGAGTGCGCCAGCCGCTCGCGGGCTGGGCCGGCGGCGAGCGCGCGGGCAGCGGCCGAGGCGCACGGCCATTTTCGGATGCGCAGCGGGCCGCGCGGCTGGAGGCCGCGCGCGCGACGGCCCTCGTGGGCGGGGCGCCGGCATCCTTCGGCACGTGGCGCAGCGCCCTGCGGAGTTATTTCGCGTTCGCCGCCAAGGTGCTGGGCAAGCGCGACAACGAAGCGCTGCCGCCCTCCCCTTCTGAGCTCGCGCTGTGGGCCACGCATTTTCGCAGTCGCAAGACGTTTGGCAATTACAAGGCGCAGGTCCTCAAGGCCTGCAGGCCATTGCGCCTTGATTGCAGTGCTTTCGACAACGCGGAAGCGAGCGGCGCGCGCGCCGCCGTGCGCAAGCGCCTGCGCGAAGAGCCGGCGCCGAAGCCCGCGATCGGCCATCGCTCTTGTTCGACCATATGCTTGCGCGCGTGCCCGAACGAGCCACTCGGCCTTTTCGTCCGCGGCTTTCCGTTCGCTCTTAAGAGCCCGTCGGAGGCCCCGAATCGAGAAGGGTGACCCGCGCCTGGCCGCGCTGGCGCGTCCTTCTCCTTCCTCTGACGAGATTGTCGCGGCGCAAGCACGCGCGGTTGTTTTCCTTCGCCGGAGCGGCCGTGTCACCCTGCATTTGAGTAGACGCAAACACGTCGACCATCCCTCGCGCATCGTGCGCAGCTGTTGGTGCGCGGCGTGCACAACCACTTACCCCGTGCACGCCCTCGGGGCCTTCTTCGACCGCGCGCCGGCGGGCGCCGCGCCGTTTGCGCACCTGTCGTGCGGGTGCATTCTCAGCTTGGTGCGGCGGCTCGCCCATGAGGCCGGCGAGCGCGACTCTGCGCACTTTTGCACGAAGTCCTTCCGGCGTGGCCACGCGGAGACTTTACGCCGCAGCGGTGGCAGGCTCGCAGAGATTTTCCGTGCGGGCTGCTGGCGCTCGGGCGCGTTCCTCGACTATATGGATCGAGAAGAGCTCGAGGGCGACGCCATGCTGGAGGCGCTGCAGGCAGGCCAAGCACCTGCGCGCGTGCCGGGATAGTTCTCGCGTCAGGGGAGCGCGCGCGCCAGCGGTGGCTGGCTCGGCATTGGGTTTCGCGCCCCCTCCCCTGGCGGCTCCCTGGCTACCGTCGGCATTGGGGTCATCGGCACCCAGGTGACCCTGCCAGGGGATGGGCGCCGCGCCCTGGGCGGCGAGTGCGCAGACCCACGGGCGCGGCCCGCCCCCTGGGAGCGCCGCGCCCAACGATGGGGTGCTGGCGGCCTCGCAGGGGCGGTCGCGACAGGTGCGCGCGCTGCGTTTGTGGTAGGCCCACAAACTCGTTTGCTTGGCAGGCACAAGCGCGCGATAGCGAACGGGAGCGCGGGGTGTCGGCGGCCATGTCCGCCGACGAGCGCGACGCCGCGCTGGAGCGGCCTGCGAGGGGGGGGGGGGCGCGCGCCGCGCCGCGCGGCGCTGCCAGCGCTGGCGGTTTGTTCGCTTGGCTCCCGCGCTGGATCCCGCGTCCGGCGGCTCTTGCGCGCGCGCGGCGTCGCGCGCCGGCGCAGTTTCCTTTCCTTGCTGCCAGCCATGGCGCTGGGCAGCTGGTGGTGCGGCGTTTTCTCCCCACCCTCAAACCGCTCCTGGGGGGTCTTCGGCACCCAGGTGACCCTGCCGGGGTGGCGCCCGCGCCCCTGGGGGCGGCGAGGCGCTGACCCAACGGCGCGGACCGCCCCTGGGGCGCCGCGCCCAACATGGGCTGGCGGCCTCAGCAGGGCGGTCGCGACAGGTGCGAGCGCCGCTTTGCTGCGATTGTGCTCGGCGCCCTCGTCACCCAGCGCCGCTCCCGCCACTCACCCCCAGGGGGGGGGAGCGGGGGGCAGAACCAACAAAAACACAGGATAAATCAGTCAAAAAACTCAAAAGAAAACATGACAATCAGAGCACCCAGGCAACAAAATCAACGAAATCAGAGCCCCGAATTGTTTTGCAATTCTCCGCAAAAGGAATCCTAGTGTAATCCTCAACAAAAGGAATCTTAATGGAATCCTCACAAAAGGAATCCTATAGTAATCCTCCACAAGGGGAATCCTATTGCAATCCTCCACAAAAGGAATCCTAATGAAATCCTCACAAAAGAAATCTTATAGTAATCCTCCACAAAGGAATCAATATTGTGGAGATTGCAATAGAATTCCCTTGTCGAGGATTTACAATAAGATTCCTTTTGGTTGGGATTTCAATCAGGATTCCATTGGTGGAGGAATTACAAAGTAGGATTCCCTTTGGCGGAGCTTTACACAGGATTCCTTTTGTGTTGTCCTTTTGTGGGGGATTATAATAAGATTCCTTTTTGCTGAGAATTGCAAAACCAGTCGGGGCAGTGATTTCGTTGATTTTGTTGCCTGGGTGCTATGATTTTATTGTTTTTCATTTCTGGCTTTGATTGATTTTATTGATTTTGTTGGTTTTTGGCGCCCTCGCTCCCCCAGCGCCGAATCCAGTTCCAAACCAGACAAAAACAACAAAACCAATGGTTTTCAATAGTTTTCCATTGGAAACGTTGAAAAACCAATGGCTTTCAATATGGAAATTGTTATTTGTATGGGTGCTCTGGGCAGCATTTGAGCGCGGGGAGAAGTCGCGCGAGCGTCGTGGCCCCTATTGGCTATCTTCTTGCTTGTCTCTAATGCTGCGGGACGGCTATTCACGGCTGAGGCGGATCCCCACCCTGCGCGCCCGCGAGCGCGTTCTCGTCGCAGGTGAATGGGATTTGTCTCACGCGTGGCCGTCCCGCTGGCGGGATGCGTTTTTCCCACCCGCCCGACCCTGCTGCGCGAGCGCACTGGCGTCGCAGTGGCTGCTAGTTGTGTCGAGGCTGGGCTGACCCAGCGCCAGGCTTGGGGGAGGCGTCGGCGAGGTTGCTCGGCTCCGCGACGCCGACTCGCGCTCACCCCACCGCCTGGCCTGGGCCTGCGCCAGTCGACGGTTGTGCCCTGCGTTAGCGCGGGCTCAGCCTCGACGCGACTTCTCTTTGGTTTCTGCAAAAAAAACAACAATAAACACTGCAAGACGAAAAAGAAGATGAAGAAGAACAAGAAAAGCTCGAAGGGGGATCTTGGGAGCCCCCCCTACCAATAATTAGTCGTAATAATATATGTGTATTATTATCCATGGGCCCCGCAAGGAATGTAGAAACCCGAAACATGGCCAGTTTTTGTGAGCTACACGTGGCGCCATAGAGTGGCGCAATCAACGAGGCAGCAAGGTCACCCCGCCGAGCTTGCAGCCCCGCTGCTCGCGCAATCATCCCGCCCGCGCACCCACAACTGGGTCTGCAAAACCCATGCGCCGGCGATTGCGATGGCTGCTTGGCGCTGGCTGGCGCGTCGCTGCGGCCGCGCTGGCGCGCGCGAGCTCGCGCGCCGAGTGGCGGGCGAGCTGCGCGACTGATGCGAGTCGGTAACTCGGGCGGGTGGATACCATGGCAAACGTCGACAACGCTGACGCAGTGGGTCGAGCGCGGGGCCCAGGCTCGCCTGACTGGCTGCGACCACGCGGGAAGCCGAAATTTATTGCGGCGCGCGTTGGCCGCGCAGCCAACAACCAATCGCGCGGCCACCTTTGCTCAGCGGCCTAGTTCCACGGCGCATGAAGCGTTCTGTCGCAACGATGCCAGCGCGTCGAACGGACTCGCTCCAGAGATGCAGAATCCCACGCGCGCAGGGCCCGCTCCCAGAGACAAGGGCTCGGGCCAGCGGGGCCAGCGCGCGCGAGCGCGTGCCCGGGCGTTCTCGCTCGGGCCGCTGGCAGCGCCAGCGCGCGCAACAATTGATCGGCTCGCTCTCCCAGAGGCACGCCCTTTCGGTTGAACGGTGGCGATTGGCCGGCGCCGTGCGCCCCTGGCGAGGGCTTGACGTGCCAGGCGCGCTCGCGCTCGGTGCCGCCCGCGCGCGCCGTGGATGCGCGGCGCCCGAGTGCCATGGCGGGCGCTGCCGGGCAGAGATGTCCTGCGGCGGAGAAACGGGCGGCCAGCCGTGCCATCGACCCTTGGCGCGCGGCTGCTGGGTCGAGCGCGGGGCCTGGGCGCGCGGCGCTAGCTGCGCCCCGTCGCGGGGCCGAAGTGGGCGGCGGCGCGCGGCGGCCGCGCCGCCAATGACCGATCGCGAGGCGAACTACCCAATGCGCGCCGGGATGCCAGGAACTTCGGGCCGCAGCATGAGAGGGGTCACAAGGAAGGCACCATAGGAACACTGAGAGATATCGTGCGTTCAACGTCCTCCAAGCGCCCTGAGCTGATTATTAACTGTCCTCGGTGGGCACCCCGAGAGCTCCCGAAAGGCACCCGAAGAGCACACCGAGGGCACCCGCAAGACACCCGATGAGCACCCCGAAGGCACCCGATGAGCACCCCGAGGGCACTCGAAAGGCAATCCGCGAGAAACTTGAAGCGCCCCCATAAGAACTCGAACGGCGCAGTTTCTCCTCCCCCTCCTCGCGCCCTTCTACTCTCGGCCTTCCCAGCCTCGCTCCTCCCGCCTCCTACTGATCTCCTGCTCCCTCTCACCTGCTCCTTTGGTGCCCCTCCTGGGCCTCGGAGGACACTGAACTCACGAAATATATTCCTGGTGTCTCCCTGGTGTCTCCCTCGTGCTTCTTTTTTATTGTTTTCTCCGGCTCTGGGAGATCTCCAATGCGCATCCTGAGAAACAAAGGGGGCAACGCAAAAGTCTGCCTCGCCCTTCTCTCTCCTATCCTCCTCCTCCTCCCCCTTCCTATTTGTCCTTTCTGCTCCTCCTCCTGCTTCTTCTGGTGCCCTCCTGGGCCTCGGAGGGCGCTGAACTCACGATATATTCCTGGCGTCTCCCTGGTGTCTCCCTCGCGTCTCCCTCGCGTCTCCGTTTTTTCTTGTTTTCTTAAGCCCTGGAGAATAAGCGTCCTGAGGGGCGCAGGGGGCAAAAGCTAACAGAGGGGGCAAACAGGAACAAAGGGGCAAAGGGGGGAAAGGGGGCAAAAAGGAACAAGGGAAATAAAAGGGGCAAAGGGAACAAGAGGGGACACAAGAGACAAAAGGGAACAACATATAACAAATGAGACAAACAGGAAGAAAGGGGACACATTGTGACACAGGGGACAAAGGGGACAAAAAGGGACAAAAAGGGAGAAGGGGAATAAAAAGGGACAAAGGGAACAAAGGGGGCAAGAGGTGACACAAGGGACAAAGGTCACACAAGAATGGCACAAGGAGACAGACTGGAACAAACATGGCAAAAGGGGGCACACATAAACAGTATATACAAAATGAAACAAAGGGGGCAAGAGAGGGCAAAAGGGGACAAAGGATATAACAATGTGACAAAAGGGGACAAAAGGACAAGAGGGGCAAACTATGACAAAGGAACGAAAGAAAACAAAGTCACACGAAAGGCGCCCCTAAGGCACCCGCAAAACACCCGAAAGGCACACGAAAGACATTCGCAAATCGCCAGCACACAATTCCTGGAACAAAATATTTCCTAGACAAGCATTGCATGTGCTGTTGAACTGCGCGACTAGGAAACCAGCGCTTTGCTCCAAGCGACCCGTGGATCGCATGGCCAAGGCGCCCGCAAGGCACCCGCTATGCACCCCAAAGGCACCCGCAAATTGCTTGCGCCAAATTTCAAAGAACAAAAACTCCAAAAATGTTGCGCTTGCAATTGAAACCTCCGATTATGAAAACAAAGTTTTGCTCCAATCGACTCAGGATTTCATTGTCAAACACCCGGAAAGCGCCCGAAAGGCACCCCAAAGACACCCAGAAACCGGCGCCATTTTTTAAAAGGAAACACGTGCCCTCGAAAAGTGCTAACAGCTGCATTGAAACTTACATATCCAACAACGATGTTCTGCGCCAAGCGCCCCAGAACTTCACGTTTGCGCGCTCCGCCCCCCGCAAAAATTAACAAAACATGCACGTGCTTTCCCATTTTTTCACAGCCTCAAGAAGCCCTCGTGGGCAGCGGTAAGCGCTAGCAATCCTTCATTTT